GTTTGTATCTGCATCTGTACCCGTTTGTATCTGCATTTGTACCAGTTTGTATCTGCATCTGTAGCCGCTTGTATCTGCATCGGTACCCGTTTGTATCTGCACCTGTACCGGTACCCGTTTGTATCTGCATCTGTACCAAACGTTCACGATATAACCTCACACAATTTGCAAAAATATGCTATATTTATCATATTATATCCAAAGCTTCAGTCTTGGCTATTTGAATTTTGCAAAATAGAACCAGTGACCAGGTGCGTTTTGGCATGAGATTTTATTCATGTTGAAAAACTGTATGGTAGAATAGCTGAGTTAAATACGTCATGAATGGATTATTGTTTTATTTTCAAAAATCAATTGCAATTGTGAATCGTTTCAGAAATAAAACGAAAATACATTTCTCAACTAATTTCTACTCATTACAAACTGGTATTTAACACAATTCCATATTTCCATATTCGACAGCAATCTTCAAAACAGTTTACGCATAATAACTACCAAGATTGTAGTGGCAATTTCTATGAAAACCCTATTTTATTACCACGTAAAACCTAATTGCTATGTACATCTTGAAGCTAACCATAACAGAACACATAATTTTTGTTGGAAAAGTTTGGTTGCATCACCGGTAGCATTTACACTAGCAATCCCCTGTGTCCACGTGGTGTGGCGTGACCGTTTATCACAATTACTATCACCTATATGTAACTTCATGATGACTGTACATGATTTTGCACATATTAGCTTACATTGTAAGGAGTTTTTCCACAGTGGTCAGTGCATGTAAACCTTTGGGCAAACAGCTAAATGCCAACATTGTAAAGGGATACCATGTTTGGTCAGTACACTCTATCTAAAGGCATTTGATTAATCTTCAGTGAATTCTATCCAAGAGCCAGAGCTAGCGATGTGACTTTTGTCAGGGTTTTCGCATCGAAGACCGTGTGTGGAGCGAAGCAGTACTGGAAACACACGTTCAGTCGTCCGCGTCACGTGCGACTCTGCTTATCTTCGTTTCATTATTATCCCTCTTAACTCTGTCTGGCTGTGACAAATCTCTCCTGGACATCCTTCCAGTTCACGACATTCCAGATAGCCTTCACGTAATCTGGACGAACGTTCTTATATTGCAGATAGTACGCGTGTTCCCAGACATCGATGCCCAGGAGCGGCACAAACCCTATGGCAGAAAACTCGGAATCAGCTTCAATTGGCATGCAATAGCAATAAACATATTTTACGTGTATGAGTGTTGGTAATGTCAGTCCGTCGTACTCCAGTTCGGTACCAGTAAGCTCGACTGGTGAGCAGGACTGATGGGAAATTTTCATGGGGTTTATTATGTTATTTATTAGAAAACAAAATTTTCGAAATAAGGCCTGGCTGGTTTTTCAGACTTACTGTGAAAACTTACTGTTACACATCGAAACCTACATGGTGGATTACTAGACCTTGTCAAACGACAATTACCTCATAGCGCAAAACATCTACGCAGTATCATGTCGAACCACATCCAGCAAATAAAACGCCAAACGCACGAAACTGGACGATTCTAAAACATATATTTTGCTTGAATATATATCTCACCTGTGGTGCCCTCTAGTGGATCCTGATTGGCACAGGCCAGGACACGCAGGCCTCCATTTTGCTTGCTGTAACCGAGCCAACCCCAGCCAGAGCCCTGCACCGCCACCGTTGCTGCTGTCATCTGGTTCTGCATGTTCTCAAACGTTCCAAAGTCGATGTGGATCTGATCCATCAGGTCGGCTGTAAGACGAACATTACATGTATTACATAACATAACATAGCATATAACATAACATAATAACATAACATAAAATAACATACAAATATAACATTATCTGCACCAGCACGATTCCACCTGTTTAACTATCTCTTAAATGTGCCCTGCCTCGAAGTTTCAAGCAAAAAACATAAAATCAGGCAAAAATTAATTATTTTAACATTGCACGTTTGTACTTGTGTGCCTATATATGTGGTATAGGTAAAAGACAATTGCTCAGGAATACGTTCATTCAAAGCTTTTAGACTACAAAGTGAAAGTGTCATGTCGAATGTTTCAAACAGCGATTACGCGTTTGCCGCATTGCGGCGATGTTTTGACGTGTTGTTGCCATATGCGGTGTTGCCAAGCGCTGGAGGTCATGAACCTCAAGTTTGTGATCCACAAGTCATGGATAGCAAGAAGGGGTGACATTATTATCATATTATTCTGTTTCGATATGCTTATGATATGCGTGCCTGGAGGCACTCTTACATCAGTGGCAGTTAACATGGTTAATGTACACGACTAACTTCATTAATCGGCCTGTGTTTTGACACTGACAATGTTTATTGGAAAGTTATGACTTATCTGGAAAATGTCTCACACATTAATTACAAAGCAACCTTAAGTTTAGAATTATACTACAGCACTATAATTATGTACATGTTCATTATCTTCAGGTTCTGTATTGCTACTGGCAAACAAATGACATTTCTGCCCATGTAAAGAGAGCGGAGTTACCAGATAAGTTGGACTGATCTGGGAACCAGATCAGAGTGTTTTCATACACAGGTTAAATACCCTATTTAACCTTATATTTGTATACATAACAATTGTGTATACCATCTATGGCCAAGGCATTATTTTGTTAAAATTTTTGTTCAACAATCATATCTTTTTTTCACATGTAGAAATGCTATGGAAAAGCCCTGAGACATGCTAAGTTGGTGGAGCAGAGGTCGAATTCGAATCTGATGATGAGGAGGAGCCATACTCAAGAAAGAGAAAAATGCCAAGTCACCACAAGTTTTCAGAGTGAACCTGGTGATGGTGTGTTTTCATAAAGCAGACAATTGCTTATGTATTTTTGGCCTCTTGAACTCTGCAGATGTGTGTCCATGGGGATTATCAATTAGGTGGTTTGCTAATCTGTCCTAATATTGTACAAGCCATATATAGGTTTCACCGTTAACGTACGATATCAATAACGTCCAACCGTAAACGCCGGGACCGGGAGGCAGATTTAGCGCACGAAAACGATTCGGATTAAATACCAGATATGTAATGTACCTTTATTGTATATAGTGTACCCTAATGCAAAATAAAAACTGTCAAGCTATTAATTGTTAGTGTTCCTTTTTAATTTTTGAACTCTATCAATTGTGCAACATACTTGAAATATATATTAACTTATTTTTTATGGCAAAAATTACAAACTAAAATTATGTATTTCATGCGCTTACAGATCGCATTGTCAATTTAAATGAATGTAAAATTCCCTGATGTTCCCATGAAATAATGTCCATGTCACCATTCTTTTCTGCTTTGAACATTAAATTACACATTTAATATTCATTTGAAGGTGTACGTACACATGGTTGCAGGAATGTTACGTTACAACGTTGTATCACAATATACAACGTTGTGGCAACGTTCAGGGGAATCTACAATGGGCGTGTTCACACACAAGAAAAACCGCGCTGCTCATCCCGCTAATAGCGGAGATAATAGTGAGCTAATTGTGTCGTTGTTCACACAGGCGGAAATATCTCGCTAATCGCCGAGCGGGATAACACGACGCGGTGCAAATAAGCGCGCTTATTCCAAATTAGCGCAGTCGGAAGTGTTCTTTGCAGCGCGCTATTTTGAGCGCGATTTAGTGAGCTAATTGCGTTCACACTTGTAAAAAGCTTGGTTTTTCGAGCGGGCTGCAAAAACCGGGTTTTGCAGCCCGCTAATTCGCGCCAGTGTGAACGCACCTAAAATAACGTTGCCACAACATTGTATCACGTTTTCACAACGTAAGTGAAACGTTGTGACAACGTTGCCACAACGTTATATGGTTAGCTGGGGAAGGCTGCATATATTATATGCTCATAGATATCATATAACACATGTGTTATATGATATCTATAGCTGTGCTGATACGTGACCTGTGTCGACTCTTGCCGCCATGATACAGAATTGCGGCCAAATGCGTTTTTCGAGTTGCTTTTTCGTTGAGGGAATATAGGCTTGATACATATTTTTACAGTTTATGATTTTCAAAGCGTAACGTTCAAGTTAAGTGTAGGCGAGCTTTATTTACTTACGTGCTCTTTAACAGTGTTTGTCACAGAAATATGTGGCGTGGGAATGCCATCTTTAAACGTTTATCTATGACTAAACTTCACGCCATTTGATCTAAACGTGAATGCACTAAAGTGTATGTAAAAACTCGGATACTTAGATGTTGAATATGTAGTTCCAGCTAGTCCAATCATATGTGCATGGCAATTTACATTTAAGCAGGTAAGAGATATGGGTGGGTTTAATCAGGCTTGCAACCAAAATGGACAATTTCTTAATCACATGAAAGCAATCTTATATTTGGCATAAGTGGGGCAAATATTTTGTGTTGTTAAGACAAGAATGATTAAGTAAATGTAATAGAAATTAAAATTTCCTAATATTGTATTACCAGTTGTTATAATTAGCATCAATTAAATGTAAATTCTCGCATTTAAATGTGAACATAGGGTTAAAGCACTGCTGGAATACTTGAAATAACAATGACCAAATAAACGCGAGAACGTATATTCGAAAAAAAAATTTTCTGGGCAAAAATATATACTAGGCCCAACCACGGCGAGCATTTATTAGCAACAGAAAAAAAAAGAAATGGAGGACAAAGAAAAAGAGAAATAAATTGGAATCGCAATGATGGTAGACTGACCACTTGGTTGACCGGCCTCCCTCGGGAGGAGAGGTTCTTCCCAGAAGATGCTGTGATTGATGTGCCCACCGCGCGTTGAAGCTTGATAGCCTGCTGGCAGAGCACACGACGCTTTGTCACGTTGCCTGGCCGAGAACAAATGTGAAAATGTCCAAATAATTACGCTAGCTGTATAAGCCTGGTATATTTCGCGTGTTTATTCCAATTTCGCGGTGTCC